TTCCGCCGCACGACCTCGGGCCGCAAAAGCCGTATTCAGTCCATAAAGAATATTTAATATGTAAGACGTCTATACCTCGGAAATTGTTTACGACTGTATGTTCTTATATAATGAATGTGATCGTTTTTGCAGGTGGACGATGTAGCTGGTCCATATGACCTTAAATCGGCGTGCGTCTTTTTGGAATACAAACATGAGTAAGTTAAGGGACAGTACATTATAGCATAACGGGGGGAGCGTATCTGTTTAAAGTGCCAAAGCGCGTTTGTCGAGTTACCAGTTTGAATCCCGTGTTTCATGTATTTGATGTAAGCTCTTGTAGATTCTGAGGCTGCAGCTAACGTGATTACGTCACTTTATTTTATTTCAGTGCCATATATGGTAATGGACAAAACACGTGGTCGTCAGAAGGTTGCGATGTAACCCATTCCACCGGGGTATTCATAGAATGCCACTGTAACCACACTACTAACTTCGCAGTTCTGATGCAGGTGGTGCCGTTTGAGGTAAATTCACAGCTGCATTATTTATGTCAAAGCAGATAGACAAACACGCAGTACTTGTTAACGTCATCGTGCAGCGTACGATCGAATTACTTGTAAACAGTGTATTTTACACACGTTCCATACGTCGTATGGGAACCATGGACACGGCGGAACGCGACCACTGTAGTACATTACGTCTTATGAAATTATAGAAGATGGTGTTTGCTTCATTAATATTTAAGATGAATTTTCTTTGATACAGCACATTAATTGAAGGTATAAAAGATATATACGGCTTAACCATTCAATTGCAGCACACTGGAATCTCGTGCCATTTGTTCAACTGTGTAGGAAACAGTTCAGTTCATTAATTGAACTGAAAGTGCACCAGCAATCAACGCATCTCGATTTCGAATCAATATGAATGCATTTCTTGGTTTCTAGGTGGGGTATATCCGTCTGAATGATTAGTTTGATCGATTAGACGATTGTTCAAAACCTGGAAAATGTTATATATTGATAATTCACAGTTAATACAAAGTCTAGACAATTCCGCGGTCCGTCCGTTTTCGTCTGGCTCTAAGCTCTACGTGGTATCACTCGGTAAATGAAAGAGCGCAATTTCACAGTCGCGCATGGTATTATAAGTTGTATTCTATACAGTATTTTCGTAATTAGCTTTTTTTCATTTGTGTTATTCTCGAAAAACCTCGAACAATACTTATGTAGTGTGTCTGAATGCATGAAGAATTTTTAGATTAAGAAAATTAAATTGTCCGCATTGAAATAAAAAACAGTATAAACACCTACTGAGATGGGGATACAAATAAACTTGATCACGTGCAATGCGACCAATGATTTTGTATTTAGAATTATACAGAGCAATATATCCAACTTTAGTATGTGGGAGATGTTTCTATATTATTTATATAAGTATATTGTAGACATATCACAACGCCCGTATTCATGTATGATTCAACGTCTAAACGTACACTTAAAATATAGATTTGATATATAGCAGAGAAAATGTCTGCTGCCGTCGCAAATGCAATGTATCGATAGTTTTTGTACAACATGATTACAGAGTTACCCAATAACATTTCAATCGAATGCAAAATTTCACAAAATGAGTAAACACATTTTTTCGGACGAAATATTTGTTACCGATCGCAAATACAATGCATAGCTAGATGTGTGAAATAAATACAACAAAGTTATTCAGAAACATTTCAAAGGTATGCAATATTTCACCAAAAAATCAATCGAAATTACCTGTTTTTTTGTTTTAATTAATTCAGATTCCGGAACGACATTTCGTAGTATTACGTTATATCACATACACTGGTTGTAGTATATCCATTGTTGCTATGTGCGTCAACTCTTGGATTATACTCCGTATCTTAGGTAGGTTTTCCACATTTTTATAATAATATACACATTATCATATTTACGTATGCTCACTGATCAAACAGACATACATAAACAATCCCCTTGAATATATATTTATAATTTTTGTAAAACTATGTCACATTTCTCAATCTACATTGAATAATACTTAATATAATCCGCTAAACATCAACATATTTTCTGTATACAATGATGTGTACGGATTATCACATGTTTTTCTAAAACGATACACTGCCCTCTGTGTTGAGAAAGGGGTAATTGAATATAAAATGACGTACGATCTAATGGAATGTTATTGTTCTTAGAAGATAATATAATATTAATAACTCCAAGCTAAATTATTATGTAAATATCCAAAATACAAACTGAAATCCAGATTTAGGAATACAGTATCAATGCAATACACCTCAAATGAACAGTTTAGTTCAGCACTAAAGTGTTCATCTACATGTAATCAGATAAAACGAAGCTTTCCGAGGGGAATTTATCAGTAATTTAGCTGTACAAATTTCCTCATTTAAAATTCAATTAAAATTTGTAAATATGTACATAATGTGTGGGCAGACCGCATCAACACATGTGTAATATACCGAAAATATGCGCTGACCTCTATGACCAGGACACGTAGTAGTTCAAACGTCATCAATTATTACATCATGCTCATCTTTATGCATGGTTAATTGATATGAACAAATACGACGACATTATACTAGTATTAAACCACAGGGAGTTGGACAAACATATGTATTTTAATAAATTATTATTACATGAGTTTTTCTTACTCCCTGTGATTATACTGATTAGAAAACAATGCAGTCTACATTCAGAATTATTTGAAAACGTGTTCATAATTTTTTGTTGGGGATCAAGAACGACGCCACCGGCTTGTCTAAGTGAGTGTAATAATGATGAAAATTCTAGTAACCTTCAGGGTGTAACTTATTCCGATGTGTCTTGTATGTTTCGAAGACGTCTTTCTTTTTCTTGAATGGGAATATTCGATAACACAACGTGGTATAGTTCCAATATTCCAGTTTTAGAATATTATAATTGAGCAGCTAATTTATACTTTATGTAAATATAGACACGTAATGAAAGGGTGTAATATGCCAATACACGATAAACCCATCATATTTATACTATTACTTTCCAGAACATTACTACCAGCTGAGAGAATAAGTATACACAAGAACCTCATACTAGCTATCATGTTATCGCACTTGGTTTCCATGGCAACTGAGTCTGCATCTCAAGTCGAGGTGAGTTAATGCAGTATATGATGCATGTAAACGATTCATTGCGCATGACATATAAAATATTGTATATTGTAACTAGTATACTTGACACGTAATGACTTTTGTATATTGTAACTAGTATACTTGACACGTAATGACTATTGTATATTGTAACTAGTATACTTGACACGTAATGACTATTGTATATTGTAACTAGTATACTTGACACGTAATGACTATTGTATATTGTAACTAGTATACTTGACACGTAATGACTATTGTATATAGTAACTAGTATACTTGACACGTAATGACTATTGTATATTGTAACTAGTATACTTGACACGTAATGACTATTGTATATTGTAACTAGTATAATTGACACGTAATGACTATTGTATATAGTAACTAGTATACTTGACACGTAATGACTATTGTATATTGTAACTAGTATACTTGACACGTAATGACTATTGTATATTGTAACTAGTATAGTTCACACGTAATGACTATTGTATATAGTAACTAGTATACTTAACACGTAATGACTATTGTATATTGTAACTAGTATACTTGACACGTAATGACTATTGTATATTGTAACTAGTATACTTGACACGTAATGACTATTGTATATTGTTACTAGTATACTTGACACGTAATGACTATTGTATATTGTGACTAGTATACTTGACACGTAATGACTATTGTATATAGTAACTAGTAATCGACGTACGCTGGGCGTGATGATGCGTCTTTGTATTTCAACTGACATGCATCATACTCTATCACCCCGTAGGTGGCGTGCAAGATATTCGCTGTACTTCTGCACTATACGTGTACTGCTATGTTTTTGTGGATGCTGGCAGAGGGAATTCACCTGTATCGCCAAATAGTCGCTGTGTACGGAAGTGAACGAAGCTGGATGAATTACTATTATACAATGGCATGGGGTAAATCCACTCAATGTACAAACTTTCATTCATATGCTTTGTGGTGACGTATATTGATTGTGGCGTTTTTGACGAAATTTGTTGTTTAATTTGACTAAAGTTTCTATGGTTTCATTTTGTGCCAACAGTTGATATGTCCATACTTAATACCCAAATGTATTATTTGTTAGCGGGGGGGGGGCGTTTGTGAAATGCTTTTTTTCTATTGTGGGGCTGTTGCGAGATGCAGAAATTCGATGTTAGAATTCATGAAGAAAATAAAGATATTGTCGCGGATGATTTTCCCATTTGGTTTAAAATTGTGTTGTTGTTTTTTTTTTTTTTTTTTTTTTTAAATAATCACCTGATTTTCAAGAATGTAATGTTAGCTTCTTGAATCAAAAGAAATGCTTGTCGCTTGTAATTTTTCTTTTTTTTAAATTCGCCCTTGGAAGTTTTTGAGTTTCATAAAATCACAGTCCCTCAACAAATGATATTACAATATACGACGAACTATTTATTTTAAAATTAAGAAAAACAAAGTTTGCTCTTGTAATTCAAACTAAGTGAAAGTGAGAGTCTTTCGGAATAAAAAATATTGTTTTTTTTTTATTTCATATACAGGAACACCTTTTTTGATTGTAGCAATAACTGCGGGAATACGTATTGAGGACTACGGCGCCGTGAACCAGTAAGTAGAAAGTTACATATTGTTAGCAAAACGCATACGGAATAAACGAACGTTTTTTCAATAAAGTAACAATTTAATTATGATATTTCTTCTCCCCTTAACAGTTGCTGGCTGTCAGTTGAGAGTGGACTTATTTGGGCGTTTGTTGGACCAGCAATACTAATCATGACCGTAAGTGTTATTGTGAACGACATCGGAACACATCCATGTGCATACCATTAATGTCAGTTATTCACTTATGTCGGCACAGATTCAAATATTAAGTTACAGCGTGCCATAATTTTGCGGCATTTTACGGGGTATTTATTTTATACTCCCGCTGTACTGTCTTTGTGATACTCTGAGGAATCCTCGTAATACACTCATAGTACTATATATTTCAAGTTAGTGAAAATTACCAAACATCACGTTGTTCCGAACGTCTTTAATTGTCGCTTAAACATATCACCTGGTTTGCCAAATAATCACTAGTGTACTAGATGACACAACTGCACCATTTCCAACGGTCAGACCTCAAATCATTTCTTTGTCTTACTAAACCTGAAATAAACTACTTATCCATTGAAGCCAGGTCGAAATTAAAATTATCAATCGATAATTGGTGTCTGAATTCTTTGTTACAGGGGAATTTAGTGGTTCTCATAATGGTCGTACGAGTCGTGGTGTCCGCCTCCCATGCCAGTGGCCAGAAACAAAACGACCATGTCAAGTAAGTTGGATTTCCTGCGAAATAGGTATACTGTGTGGTAATGTAGGATATGGTACATAGCGCCATACGGAGTTACTTGTATGATTTCAACTCGGTGATGCGGTGCTTTAATGATTCACTCGGTGTCGGATACTTATCAGTGTGCATACACTTTAAAATGGTGTAACCATAGCATATGATTGGTATTTTATTTACAGAGCCGGTGTGAAGAGTTCCCTGCTGTTGTTACCACTACTTGGCATTACCTGGTGTTTCGGATTGTTTGCCACCGGTGAAGAAACCATTGCGTTTCTTTATATTTTTTCAATTCTTAATTCGTTGCAGGTAGGTACAATCAGAACACATGTAAATGTTCTTTTACGCATCACAACAAATTGACTGGCTGATAATTACACAAGGTCACTTTTTGTATGATGAACATCTTTAAAGTATAATAATGCGTTTGAAGATTCATCCGAAATAAAATGATGAGTTTTCACTCCCTGCTCCAGGGTTGCAAGTTTGTTTTATATATGACATTCTATTAGAGTGCCTCGGCCATGGGTATAACAAATATGCTCATTGTATATAACCCTGTTTGCAATGCCTGATGTTATACCAATTTCACATCAATGGGTTCGTCTTGCTTCATACTTCTGAAGATATTCTATTTCTCTATGCAGGGATTATTCATATTTCTGTTTCACGTGGTGTATAATTCCGAGGTAAGTTGTCCATACTGATAGTTTTGTTGTTTCAGCTATTGAAATACTGTGTAACAGTGACGATGACTTTTGTCGTCTCGCCCCCCCCCCCCGGTCATGTTGGTACGCTCAGGGCCTTTAACGGATATGACATATTTAGTAATTATTTACTTCATTGCAGGTAAGAGCTGCCCTTAGACGCAAAAAGGAGAAGTTCGAGGCAGAACGTGGCCAGTTCGGAACGTCGACAAATGCCACGGTAAGCACGACAAGGTTTATTACGAAAAAATTAAAAGTCAGCTCTAAGGCTGTTTTAAGCATATAACCCTCATCAGCCGAAACATATCCGGTAATTGCGATTGAGCAATCATTGCACAATAGAGCAATTACATGTATTATCATTAATAATACATTTATTCATCAATATGTAATCGAACGCGATTACCTGTTGAATCATACAGTAATGTTTGTGTCACACTTGTAAAGAAGTTACGTGTGGTTGAGGGTGTTGCTTTGCAGTCAAGATTTCGTAAAATGAAGTGTATAACTCCCTCAAACTATTCAAATTACATCTGTTGTTGTTTTTTCACCGCAGGCTGGGTCTTGGTACACTCGTAGCACCATGGCTTCGAGGTCAACACGTGTTACAAGGATGTCTTCAGAGCAGACCCTGCATCTTGAAGACGTTGTCAATGATGTGAAGATGGTCGAAGACGCAAAATTGAGCGAACCCCCCAAAAAACTGACAACCAATGAAAACCAAACACCCACTGCTCGGAGTAGTAGAAATTCATTGATCGTGCACCCCAACGAGGTAATAGTACTTTATGTATTTCTATTGGTGCGTACAATTGTTTTATAGTATGCAGTAACTATCGCAAACATATTCTATACCTCACCATACCAATATATCCTTCCATACCATCAATATCATACTACACGATTGGTCTAATTTCCGATTATCCGTCTTCTATTACAGTCTACAATGGCTTTGAGAAAATGCTCAGTCGAGACAATCTGCAGACAGCCGAGGGTACGTCCACTCGTATTGAGGCAACCGAGAGAACGACCGAACACATTGAATCGCCCTGAAGAGGGCGACATGTGGTGATCCGTTATGACAACGAAGGAATGTTAATGTGCTTGAGACGACAATTGCAAAGGATTTTGTGAGCATGTGCATTAATTTTTAAAATTATCGAGAAGACGGAATATAAAAGAAATACTTGTATATATGTATCATATAGCAAACCAGTATACACAAATGAACATTTGTTAAGAAGTTAAGCCTAGATTGAGTTTGTAGTAGAACAATTGATTTAAACACTCACAAAATGAAACCAATGCGAATCATTTTAATTGTTTCCAAATTTCTGGTAATTGTTAGGGTATGGTATTCTCATTGTTTAATCGTATTAGCTTTAGTGCTATGCAATTGCTGGTATAATATCGTACTTCCTATTTTTGTAAACCCACCAAATCGAATTAAGAAATTCTATACATTCAGATGGTAGACATGTCCGTTTAAAACGTAGTCAATTTCATTATTGTATTTTAGAAGATTTCTTTCAAGTTTAAGGTCATAGAGTGACCCCAAGTCCAATCTCCGTCCATTGGTCGTATTGCCCATAAAGTATACTATATTATATTACAAGAGTAGTGCACGGTAAATACAAACGCGCGACTGTTTATAGCGATTTACATACGATTTACATTATCCGTATATTTTAGTCAAAATATAATATTTATACGTCATACATCATTACATTATCCTAACCTCAGTAGTTAGTCTCTTTATTGGATTTTGTTACCATTTCACATACTTAATAAGGATTGGTTTTGTATGTTGTAGTGTTTCTCATTCGCGTTCCATAATGTAATCGGTATATTTCAGATTAAAGTTGTGCGTTTCAACAATTTCAAGTACAGTGTTGGTGTTTTCTTGCAGCATTGAGAAACATTAATAATTGGTAGAATATTTTTTTGATAACTGTCAAATGTAAAAACAAATCTATGTCTCAAGCACATTTGTGCTCGGCAACTTCAATTTAAACGGATGTTTTATTAAACATACTTGTTGCATATAATTATAACACAATGACTGGTTATGTAAATATTATGCAGCTGTTGAGATGTGGATCTACATGGCAAGCAAGAAAGAGTCTTCTCCGATACAAAACATGCCAGTTTAATTTGGGCTTACTATGTTTGTTGCGTAATGACGGTGTAATTATGCCACCGTTTTTTGTGTGTGTGTGTGTGTACAAACAATGGATGGACGACCAAGGCGCGCGTTCATTCATTACCGCATTATTGGAAAGTCGGCAACTGCTTCGGACGTGTTATTGAATATGACATTGAAAACTTAGAGAGAGATACAACGCCTTCTCAGTAGCAAAGAATAGAATCATCGTGTCTTGTTAAAACGCGGTGGTCGTCGCGCTACGCATATGCGACATTTGTGTTGATAAACATTGATTTTCCCACAATCCAATGTGCTATTCTAACAGAAATCACAAGTATGAGGTTTGACCTTGGCGCGACTTGCACTGAATACCGCCGATGACTCTTTCGATACCTTCCAATCACCTAAAAATTACCTAATTAAAGCTTGGAAACGTCGCATTTTGTACTCGTTGATCTGCGCAACAGTCAAAGTTGTAATATTTGTGTCTATGAGACCAATATTTCTCGTGCATGTTTCAAATGCTGCTTGCATGAATTAACTGAAGATCTTAATGTGTAACTCACTGGGTTTATTCTGTATAGTGGGTAAACAAATACAAACCATGCTGCGTCCATCACTGGCTCACAAGAGAATACATGCGCACTAGTCTGCGCTACTTAATATTCATGAGGGCGGGTCATAGTTCAACATAACATCTTGTTACAGTGCATGCGTGGCGAGACGATTACCGCGCTCTAAATTTAAAAGTCAATGTACCTTTAAATTAAAGTTAACAGTTGAAATAGAGACCCTTGATGAATCAGCAATGTGAATGCCAGCAAGGATATAAATATAGATTTCTATCAATGCGTGGTAATCAACTTTGACATTTACTATAGAGATAGCTTTCATCTACTAAATGTCGCCCTCAACGTCATTCTTTCGGATAACATCTGTGTTGCTCCAATCCGTCGTCATGGGCATAATTCACTGGCTGTACCGTTCAAATGAACTTTCGACTTGCTTACATCTGACATCAAATACGGGCATGTACTGTAAAGGGGTTAATTATTCATTGGGTTTTAATTTGGCTTATTTCGCTGACTGAAAAATGCGCTAAATTAAAACCCAGTGAATATGTAAAATTTAGCATAGAACACATTATCTAAATGATAAAACAGTGAATTTAAAACCCACTGAATATGCCTGAAATGGTAAATCAGTGAAATTTAAACCCAGTGAAAATTAGTGATTTTACAGTATCTCACTTCATATAAGAAAACAAAAAACAAATAACGCTGAACTAATAAGTAATTTAGCACTGTGTTTTTAGATAACATGCACTTGACATCCATATGTCATTTGGCGTTCAAATACCAAGCATCTACTTACTATTGTTTCTTCGTGGATTAGATGAGATCAAC